GAGAGTGAGAGAGGAGAGAGAGAGAGAGAGAATTTTAATTTATTTTTTTTAGTTCTCGGCGGACACAACATCTTTGTTGGTATGTGGTGCTGAGGATCGAACCCGGGCCGCACGCACGCCAGGCGAGCGCACCACCGCTTGAGCCACATCCCCAGCCCCCATATTCTTTTTTATTCTTACTTCCAAATGGAATTCCTGGGAGTTTCATCGATTGACTGAAATAATTTAAAATATCTCCTATGGATGTTTTTAGCTCTGCACATCCAAACCAGATACACAACAAACACCAGGGGTGTGGAACAGATATTGAAAAAGCGTATGCAGGATTACCTGCAAGAAAATCGCTGCATTGGGGCTGGGGCTGTAGCTCAGTGCGTAGAGTATGCGCCTTGCACATGTGAGGCACTAGGTTCGATCCTCAGCACCACATAAAAATAAAGATATTATTGTGTCCATCTACAACTGAAAAAATTTTTTTTAAAAAAAATCGCTGTAAAAATTCTGGTAAATCCTTTGGTTTTAGCTAATCATATTCTCTAAGGTTCAAAGAAAGAGATGGGAGACAGACAATAATTGTTATTGGCTTAAAATTAGGGGATGAACTGTCTTTAGGATTCTATGGAAAGTCACTTTGATCACAGTGGAGTCCTCCAGGTGAAGAGAGGGACCTAGGGGATCCACAAGCCCAGCCTTAAGCCGGAGATGGACTTTATTTATTTTTATATTTATTTATTTGTTTATGTTTGCAGTACTGGAGTTGAACCCAGGGGTGCTCTACCACTGAGCTACATCCCCAACCCTTCTTACTTTTTAAAATTTTGAGACAGGGCCTGTGCTAAGTTGCTGAGGCTGGCCTCGAACTCGCTATCCTCCTGCTTCAGCCCCTGAGTCACCGGGATTACAGGTGTGTGCCCTGGTACCCCACTGGAATGGACTTTTAAAGGGTTGTAACTGGAACTCTCATTTTATAACTGTGAAGAGGAAAGCTCCAGGAGGTTGAGTGACTGCTAGTTAGTTAGCAGTAGAGTCCAGACAGGCTCTGGGTTCCCCACTCTTTGTACCACATGATCCAGGAAGCACTTTAGAATTCATTCCTTTTTTCTCCTATTTGAACCAGTGAGGAAAAAAAGACCGAGAGAGCCTGAATTGAAGCATTTAAAAAAAAAAAAATCAAAACACCTAGAGTAAAGTGATCCTGGAAAGAGGTGAAGAAGGTAATTTCAGAGGCTGGAATTAGCAGCGCCCAGGAAAAGATACTGTCTTATCTAAGGCAATTAAAGTAAGCAGGCAATTAAAGGCTTTTGTTATTTGGGTCGGAGGTTTACAAGGCTGAGAAGCAGCAAGCTTTCTGAAAGCCACAGTCAAATCAGGACCCAGAAAGTGCAGGCTTCTAACTCCCAAGGAAAAGTCCAGTGTGAGACAAAAGATTCTTGATTTTATATTTGACATGGAAAGAACCAAAGAAGCAAAGCAAGATGTGAGCTGGTCCCGGACCCAGGAAACCCAGAGCCCACCTCCTGGGTCTCTGTGACTTGTCCCAAGGGGCTTTGGTTTTCATGTCCATGTGTAAACCAGAAGAATTCCCCATTAGGAGGCAAGGGGGTGTTAACATTCCAGTAACGACAGACAAACTCATTTGGAACTGGTTGAGTCACTACTGTCCTGGCCCCTTCCCCTGCCTAACCAGCTTCTCTCCCTCTCTTCTCCTTTTACCTCTTTCCTCCCCACTGCCTCTCCTCCTCCTTCCTTTCCCTGAGCAGAAACAACAAACTACAAATTCTTCCCCTGCAGAGACCTGGACCTTGCTATCAAGGGCTCAGGCTCCCTGCAAGCTCATCAAAGTCCTCCCCCAAGGAGACAGTTCCCTCCTTCCATAAGTGGAACTATGGAGCCAGCTGTTACGATTTTTAAAAATTGGCCTGTGCATTGTGTGTCTTTACACAAGACTGAAATCTTTGAAGTTTAAAAGAAGATAGTACTCCTTTTTAATTGTCCTGTTTTGTATGGAATTGTATTACCAGAACTCATATTTATGCAGATTATACAACTTTCATAAGAAGTCTTAGAAATCCAAAAGCATTAGCAATCCAATCTAAGCTTTATTCCCATCTTTTGCCAATCATTCACACAAAAAAGTGGTTGGGTGGGGCGGTTGTAAGCACCGCAGCCCCTGGGGATCTTGTCTAGAATTGAGAGCAGAAGAGAAAATCAGCTGCCCTTTCAAACTCACACCTATTAAATAATGTGCTCCATGCAAGCTCACAGCAGTGTGTGCACACTGGAAACCGTTTCCCTGAGGGCATTTCCTTTTAGACAGACCCTCCTATCTGCAGGCTGTAAGTAATGATAGGCGAAAAGGGAGGATGACAGCTGTGGCCCCGGGGAGATGGCTTAAGGAATATTCTTTGTACTCTTTTAGGCTTGGGTGCTTTCTTCTCTTCCAGACCTTTCCATTTGACAAAGCCTTACCTTCTCCACCTATCACACACACCTTTTTCCCATGACAGGTGCAAGGAGTCTTCAAGTGTCTGATCTCAGATAATCTCCTGGCCAGGGCTTGGGGACACGTCACTCTCATCCCTGCCTTTAGCACAGCCGTTTCTCTAGTTCCTCCTGAGATCTTCCTCCATAAACCTGTCACAATTCTGTGGGAGCCTTCTATCACATTCATGAGCTTCTCCCTTGGACTCACACCTGGGCTGTGTCCACCACAGTGAATGGCCTCCACACTCTACTCCCTGGTGTCCTTAGGACCCCAGCTGGATTTCCTCAATGCCCCTTTCCTCTTGCCCCAGGCCCACAGGCAGCATTTCCTTATTGCACAGTTCTCTTGCCTGGCCCAGGCTGCTTGTCTCCTCTGCAGCCTTGGTGGGGACCCTCGGCCACCCTGTGGAGGAGGGGCTGAACCACACGCAGCCCGGCAGCCTGAACAGGAGACTTGTCACAGGCAAGCGTGGCACAGACATGAGCCAAAGATCATGGCGTGCTTCTGGGGGATTCCATTCTGTCTTATGCTCTTTATCAACACTCCTAAATAGATCATGGTGTGAAAATTAGCATATTTACAAAAACAAAACAAGTAGATAGATACAATCATGCACTTCGTTTACGAACAGCAGATTGTTCTCTCTCTTGGTTTCATTTACCCTGGTTTCCTTTTCAGTCTCATTAGTACAACTTTTCACTTTTTAATTTATATGAACATTTTAACTTAAGCAATCTGCTAGTGCTTGACAGAGGGTTAATGTCAAGAGCCCCCGGGGATGGCTTCTGGTTGGCCTTTGGTGTTTGTTCTTGAAGCAGGAGAATGGTTTGTCTGTGCTGATGATTTGTAAGCATGCATCACCATCAACTTTAAAAAATATATATTTATTTTTTAGTTTTAGGTGGACACAATATCTTTATTTTACATTTATGTGGTGCTGAGGATCGAACCCAGTGCCTCATGCATGCTAGGCAAGTGCTCCACCACTAAGCCACCACCCTAGGCCCACCATCAACTCTTACTGTCCTTCACATTCTGTTTTCCTGGACTTGTCTCCTGCTCTGTGTTTAACAGGGGTGGAGGCCAGGCAGAAGTGCTTTGTAATGGCCTGTGTGATAAGCCTCATAAAGTTATTTTTCTCAATTAATGGTTTCATCGATAATGTTATTGCTTTGCTCTAACTTCCCAAATCCCTTGGGCATCCTATCTGTGATAAGGTTCCCCCAGTCCAACAAAATGGGCCCTTCAGAATACAGACTGATATATTTTAAGAAGTTCTCTCTCTCTCTTATTTTTTTTAACATAATACTTAAAAAACATTTAAACAAAAAGTAATAGGGCTTTAAAGCAGAGCTCTAAAAGAGATTTATTCATGAGTGCATGCATACTAGTCTCCACACTGACATCACTTTATATTGATTTTCCTTGGGTGTGCATTCTCTGCTTTTCCCTAAATCTTAACTACTGTATGAGAACTTTTTATTCCATGCTTATTGCATGCTTCCTTCTACTTTGCTCCAAAAACTCTTATGATGTGCTAAAAGGAATCCATTAGGGTTCAGAACTGCAGTTTGGGAAGGTCTGCAGTGAATCAATCATACCCCTTAATCACAATTGCTGACTTGATTAGGTAGTCGATTAGCTATTTTTTTTCTTTAGAGAGAAAACAAAACTTATTAATCTATTTTTCTGGAGTTATTTTATTTATGTATATACTGGGAGGATCAAACCCAAAAGCATTCTATCTTTGAGCTACATCATCAGTTCTATTTCGCCAGCGATGGGAGTGGTTACAAGGGATTGAACCCAGGGGCCCTTAACCACTGAGCTACATCCCCAGCCCTCTTTATTTTTTGAGACAGGTCTTGCTAAGTTGCTAAGGGCTTCCCTAAGTTGCTGAGGCTGGCTTTGAATTTGTGATGCTCCTGCCTCAGACTCTGGAGTCTCTGGGATTATAGGCATGTGCCACTCCCAGAACTACTTCTTTTTGTATTATTTTGAGACAGATTCTCACTCAACTGTAGACTGGCTTAGAACTCGAGACCCCCCTGCCTTGGCCTCCGGAGTTGCTAGAGGAGTAACTTTAAATGTACCTCCATAACCAAGCCCTGCTGGCACCAGGAGAGCTATGTAGAGCACAGCTTTCTCTCAGGTCAGGGGACTTTCACTCTAGAAAGCAGCAATTTCTGGTAGCCTCCTGCTCCCTGCCCCCAAGAACTCATGGCAGAAGAAAGGACCAACAATAATACACTCCTGCACATTTCGCAAAGCATTTTCACACGCATCAGCCTCCCTAAATAAAAAAACAAAAAAACAGATGAGAAGATAGAAACTCAGAAAGATCACATATATCTTCAAGGTCTAATAGCTAGAATGTAGGTTTGTGTCAGAGACCAGGATTGAAACAACCCCCTGAAAATTCTGACTTAAAAACAAATTCAATGTCACAGACAGGATTAGAATCCAGCAATTTTCATAACATTGTGGCGGTGAATCTTTTCCAAGCAATACTTACCAGGAAATGTGCTTTTCTTGGCCTAGCTCTGTCCTGCAATTTATTTTTCTTATCCTGTGACTGTCGGCTGAAATCTGGGATCATTTCATTTCTTTTCTTTCTTCTGTAAATTGGAAAGCAGTGGAAACATGATAAATTAACATTTTAGAACTTTGGCGGTCCATAGAGCTATTTGATTTCGTTGTCCCGGTGATTTCAAAGGTTGTCTGCACTCCACTGGAAGCAAGCCACACGTCTATCAACAGAGAAGGGGGTGAATGAATGTTGGCATACCCACACAATGGAGTACTATGAGCTATCAAATGGAAGCAGAATATTTCTATATACAACTGCAGAATGACTGCCAGGATACAGTGTTACCTGAAGAAAGAAAAGTGAATAAAGAAAGGTGGATGTCAGGGCTGTGGCTGTGGCTTAGTGGTAGCACACTTGCCTGGTATGTGCGGGGCGCTGGGTTTGGTTTCTCAGTACTGTATATAAATACATAAAATAAAGGTCTATCAACAACTAAAAAACAAAAATTAAAAAAAAAAGAAAGGTGAATGTATTGTGTGCTACCATTCATTTCAGAAAGGAGATATATGAAAATATGTGTGTATGTTATCTATTTGCTTATTATGCTTTTAATTTTTTAAAAAATTTTTATTGTTGGTTGTTCAAAACATTACATAGTTCTTGATATATCATATTTCACACTTTGATTCAAGTGGGTTATGAACTCCCATTTTTACCCCATATACAGATTGCAGAATCACCTCGGTTACACATCCACTG